TCTGTCTGTCTGTCTGTCTGTCTGTCTGTCTGTCTGTCTGTCTGTCTGTCTGTCTGTCTGTCTGTCGACTAGGAAAGTGCCATCACGTGGGAATCAACTTCTTGGAGGGGCCCGACCGTTTGTACACACAGACGGATAGGTAAATGGGACAATGGTGGACACACACACACATACACACACACGCACACACACACACACACACACACACACACACACACACACACACACACTTACAAACACATACACACACATACACACAAACACACACACACACACACACACAAATCTAAAAAGGCTGCTAGATCTAGATCTAGATCTAGAGACATATATTTGACCCACAAATATGGAGCGTCGATATAGGAACAGAAAAAAGGGAGTGTTGTTCTGTTCTACGGTGGGTTTGTGTGATAAAACGTCTCCTGAAAACTTCTTACTTGTTTGTTTGCCTTTTCCTTACCCACCAAGCTGCCCACGAGGATATGGAAAAGGAGGAGGATGGCGAAGAAGAAAACAGAGATGGCCATTCGAACGTTTCATCGGGCGAAAAGGAGGGTGAGGAAGGAACTGAGGAAGAGGAGGACGAGAAGAAAGACGACGAGGAGGGAGATGATGGATCAGAGGGAGAGGACGGGGCAGAATCTCTTAAAGAGGAACTAAACAAGATCCAGGTGGAAAGCCCGTGAGTTAACATTATTGATATTTTTTTCTTTTACCAGATAGTTTTGAATACACCGTCCCTGTCAATACATCTTGTGCTTATCTGAAAATGACGCCCATTTCCAAATTGGCATAATTCATAATATTGTTATATGGTCCTCCAGAATCGTCATCATCAAGTGCCAGACTTGCGACAGACATCGACGATCATGGTTCGCCGTTCACTCATTTGCTCGGATGCTCTCAAAGCATATTTCCCTGAACTTAACCTCGTCACCCGTCTGTTTAGGCTTTCCAAGTGGGTCCGTCTAGAATAACGCGGATTTACACGACGAGTCAGTTAAAAGCAGTAGAATACCTTCGACATCGGAACGTAGCTGCCTTAACACTTGAGGCAAGGGGCCCTTCGAATGACGATAAACGGTCACACATGTAAAAGTCAGTTGCACTGTAGTTTAAAAAACCAGCTGTGTACCACCCCTGAGATCTAAATCTAGTAAGGAAACAAAGAACAACGTTAGAATTGAATTCAAACCAGGGTAGCATAAACCATTGTAGGCTTATTGTCTTTTATTCCCTTACATGTCGAAGGTGTTGAGTGTTTACGCTGACACACTATTGCTTACTATACGTTGGGTTCTGAGAAGGCTGTAGCAAAGTTCATAAGACCCTCATGATTTATCAGCATTTGGTTTTAGGTTCAGAACTTTTATTGGTTGCTCTTCGGTTTAATGTTAGTGGAAGGGACATTATGTTTTCGCTCTCAACGGGATATTGAGCTAGAGTTGTCTAAAACATGTCGTCTCTACTGTAAACTGTTCGAGGACCTTGGCTGCTTCGCCTAATTACTGGTTTAACAACAGAACAACTGAGTGGTTGTTATACTTTGGATTATGTTTAGTTTGATGAAGGGGCCCATATCACCCAACAACAACCATTTAGTGCAGAAAAAAAGCAAGACATAGAAACAGATATTAATGGGAGACAGAACAGAAGTAGGAACTACCATTAGCGACCTCCAAAACAACGAAAATTGGATCAATGCAGAGTTCATTCAAGAAAACTTACGATATTAGTTCAGAAGTCTTATTTTTCACAGGAAACCCACCGAACCGGTGTTCGATCCCTCCAAGTTCCCACCATCGTACAAAGACAACAACCCCAAAGAGCAGAAAGCTATACGCCTCTGCAAGATGGCTATAAAGCAGTTCAGGGATCTGTACTTTGACAGACGACCGCTGTTCCTCAAACCGCTCAATGAGTTTGGTGTTCAGGTAAATCATTATGCTGTACTTTCGTTTTCATAATTTATCGTTATCCCTACCCCCACGCCCCCACCCCTATAATTAATAAAAATCCTAACCAGACAACAGCAAAACAAATAAGACATAATAAAAAATTTTAAAAAGGAAATAAAAGAAAAAAAAGAAAGAAAAAGTTTTGTAAAAAAATAAAAGAACAGGAGACCAAAAGCAAAAGCAAACAAAAATGTGAAAGGCCCCGGAAACCCCTCTCTGTTATCACTGCTCTGTTTGTCTTCGAAATCATGCACTCCTTGTCCTTCTCCCCTCCCCCTTCCCCCCCCCCCCAACAAATAAACTAAAGGCTACATAAAGACACCTCTCTCTCTCTCTCTCTCCCCCCCCCTCCCATTCTTCATTCATTTCAAGTTCGCTCTCTTTCTCGTCCCCGCACTTTCTCACGTTCTCCCTGCTGCGTAACACGCTGCTGTTCCTCACTGTCATGGTTTCTATTTTTCCTTCCCTATTACATATCCACATTCGCCCTTCCATTTTTCCTTCTTTTCCATGCCTTCTTTATTTCAAAATCGGTTTTTTTCCCCACTGTCTTCACGACAGTGATTATTAATATTTTTTTCTCTTGCTGGTATGAAAACTGCTGTCTGTTTCATGCAGGAATTTATCTTATGACCTATGTTTCGTTTTTCAGTTGATCTCCCTCCCCCCCC